TAGGGTTTGGGGGGTTGGCACCAGCATCGCAGCACTCTGGGGGCACGGGAAAGGGCGCGTTTCCAGAACGCTGGTTTATTGCGGGGGCGCGCGTGCAGTGCCGCGCCGCCTCAGCGCGTAAGGCTGTCCCCTGGCCGGGCGCGCCCGCATGGGCGGCCGGCCGCCGGGGCCCCCAGCTGTGTCCAGCCCCAACCGCCGAGTCGATCGGCCCGAGCCCCCGCGCCCCCCGGCGACGGTGGTCCTCCTCCCAGTCATTCTGCCACCGCCGCGGCCGGGCGCGCGGGGGGGCCACGGCTTCAAGCGAGACGCCCCTAAAATACGGCTCATGCGTGCTCCGCACGCCTTCAAAACAACCCAACGTATGTGAAACATTTAAAACACTACCGACGCCCATCCTCTGTGGAAAAAAACAATAACCACCACCCAGGCACGGCGTCGCGGGATCCCAGGAGGAGGTGGTGTACTCGCGGCTGCCGGCCGACATCGCGCGGCGCTACGTGCTGCTGCTGGACCCCGTACTGGGGACCGGCCACACCGCCTGTAGGGCTGTGCAGGTGCGCACGGCGCGCGCCGCCCTCCGCACCACGCACCCATGGACCTCTTTCTTGGTTGAGGGGGTCCGCTCTGTAGGGGGACGGTATCAGGCACACCCAGCCTCCGCAAACGGCGGTTGAGCTCGTGCGCAGTTTGTCCGTTTGAGGATTGAGAGCGCATCCTGCGACAACCGACCACCAACCCGCTCGGCGGCAGGCGCGCAACCCACCAACCATACACCCAGAGCGCTGCCCCAGTCGCAGCCCGGACAGACCGGCCCCGCTCCTGCTCAAATCGTCCAGCACCATTCAACACATCGCCCAACCAACCAAGCACTCCCAACCAACCAATGAATCAAACAAACATCAAGTTGATCGACCGTCCCATCAACCAACAAATCAACCACCCAATGAGCTGCCCACGCAATTGCTCAACCGACCAACCAACCAACTACCCCCCCCCCCAGGTGCTGCTTGACCGCGGCGTAAAGGAAGAGGCCATCCTCTTCCTCTGCGTCATAGCCGCACCAGAGGCAGTGCACAAGGTGCGCATGTGTGTGCGTGTGCGCAGGCGGGGGCGCGGGTGCGGGTGCAGGGCGCCCCTGCTGCGCGCAAGCCCCAGGGGGGACGCGTGCACCGACTCAACGGGCAGTGCATGCGCGACGCCGTGGGGTTGTTCGTCGGGTGTGTCTGGGGCGCACTCCTGGAGCGCCTGCGACCCGTGGGGACTGGAGGCGACCTTTGGGGTGCGGGGCCATGATCCAGCTGGGGACGGCGGAGGCGATGGATGTGTGATTCGAGGGGCTGCGTCGGCGGTGGCTCCAGTTACTACCATCTCGCCTGACTCAGACCGACGACCGCTGCATAACTAAATCGGGTTTTGCCGCCTCGCGGCACTCGCAGGTGTGCACTGCGTTCCCGGCCATGAAGGTGGTGACCTCGGAGATTGACCACTCACTCGACGCAGAGTGGCGCGTCGTGCCGGGCGTCGGGGAGTGGGGTAACAGGTGCGCCCCGCGCCGCAGGCGGGCTTGTTCGGGGCCGCATGCACGTTCTTGTGAGCGTTTGCCGCTGCCGGGTATGGGCGACAGAGCCGGCAGACGCGACAGGTGGAAAAACGGACAGCAGCCAGCGTTGCGTGCGCAGCAGCCGCTCCAGTGCAGCGCCAGCTGACGCGTGCGGGAGAGACAGGACAAGAGGCAGGTGCCCGGTTTCTGTGGCCCCCACACAGTACCTTGGAATTGCACAGCGTCCCTAGATATCCTGCCTGGCTTTGATCTGCATCCAATTGAACGACCATATATTATTTATATGGATTATCTTCCTCATAATCGCAGGTACTTTTCGGACTGACCGCGCCTGTACTTGTGGGGCTGCCGCCCGCCGGCCAGCGCGCGCTGCGCGCCCGCAGCAGCAGCAGCCCCCGGCAGGCCACCGGCCGCGCGAGCAGCGGGCGTCGGGCCCTCGGTGCTGGCCCTGGCCGCGCGTGACTGGTGCGCGGCAGCGTGTGGTGACGTGGAAGGCCGTCCTAGTCGCCTTGCAGGGCAGGGCCCTAGGCTGCCGTGTGGCAGAAATCTGGGGTGGTCTGGGTCTCCCTAGCATGCATGCCTAAATCGTCAATCGCTGTTCTGCAACTTGTGTTTGAGGGGGCAAGCCATGGGCGCCGATTGCGGGCATGCCCCCTGAGAACACGCAATCCTGCTTTTTGGTCGCCTGATATTCTCAGTGCTCGTTCCGGATTTGGTGCGGTCATGTGCGCTGCATCAAGCGAAACCAGCCCGCGGCATGCTTCACGTACATCGGCAATGCGTTATGATGGTATGAGTTTCTGCCCTGTGTGATGTGTCGGCAAGCCGTTGCTTTTCCGCCCCTCCCTCTGGTTGGCCTGGCAGAAATTTAGCAACTGGGCCAAAGTGATCGTCTGTGGCTGGGTGGCGCGGGTGACATGAGCAGCAAGGGAGGGGCGGCTGGCTGGGCAGACGGGGCGGGAGCACACATCCGCGGTTGTGGCTGACGCTCGTTCCAGGCGAGGCGTTGTTCTTCATTTGCTGAAGGTGGCAACACAGGCAACCAGAGACCTGCACAGGAGTCACGCCAGCATACCGGTCTCGGGGCTGTGGCGCATGGCGCCGCAGGTGCTGTTTTGCACGCTGGCGGTTTGCCCTAGTTTAGGCCAGCACTGGCTCGGGACCCCCAAAGTGCCAGGTGGTGGTGCGCAGCTGCCCCAGGCTACTGCAGCTTGCCCTCCAGTGCGTGTATTGATGATACTCGATTGTACCACCTCCCTATAGATCGCGATGCTTCTCGTCAGATCAGCAAAGGTCTCGAAACCTGTACCACCCGCAAGGGTTTAGCAAGTGGCGATAACATGGCGTCAAAGGCCCTTTTCCGTGCACTCCGCCACGCACTCGACCTTGAGCGCATGCTGCAGCACAAGCCGAATGCAGCGGCAGCGCGCCGCGATGTGGAAGCCGCAATCGCGAGCATCCGTACGGCCGCCCTCGCAGATCCCTCAAGCCTGCTGCCAGAGCAGCTAGTTGAGAGGATGTTGCACCTTATGAGAAGCAACGCGGCGCCACAGGTTGCGCTTGGCACCACCGTCCTATGGATGACGCTCCTGGGATCAGGTGTGTGCAGCGATAGCGCCCGGCTCCTCCAGGTGCGCAAGGCACACGCATTACGCAACGAATAGTAGCAGCAGCAGGATTCACAAGCAGTGTATGCGTTTTTGTGTGTGTCTTTGTTCATTTGTGCTGTTGTATGTTTGTGTGGTCTGAGTGTGGATGGTGTGTGGGTCGTGGCACTGCCTGTGGGAAATGGTCCAGAGCAGGGCAAGGGAGAGGGGGGAGCGAGGCAATCCCTGTCGGGCGCTTTCAAGAGCGGAGCATATCGCACAAACAAACCACCACGACACTCACCACGACACAATCTATGCGTCATGCCGTCCCCGCAGCTCGCCACCTGGCCGGGGCTGATCGAGGCCCTGGTGACCGCCGCGCGGCGCCACCCCGGCCGTGTCGGCTTTGCACACGTCCCGCCGCTGGACATCGTCGTCCCGGGCCTCTTGAGCTGCTTCTGTGACACGGCAGCCGGGCGGCGCGCCATCCTGTCCGTTGGCGGCGCAGGCGACGGCGGCGTCGCCGTTGGGCTGCTGCTTGAGACCTTGGGGCGCGCGGATTTCGCGCGAAGCAGCGGAGCAGACGGCCGGTCCTGTCGCAACCCCACGATTCAAGCAAGGCTCGTCCTCCTCCTGAACGGCCTCACTCTCCTCAGCGATGACAGCGCCGTCGTGCGAGCTCGCATGAGGCTCGACGCGGCGGCGGTCGCCGGGGCTGTTGGCGGGCTTGAGGCGGCCGTTCGGGCCAGGGAATTCACCAGAGAGGCGCTTTGCCTGATAAACTTCGTGGCAGCGTGCTTCGAACCATCAGCGGCCGGGGAGCCAACGGCCGCTTCAGGGACGGCGGCGTCAGGGCCGGGGGCCGCTGCCGCGGCAGCAAGGCAGGGCGGCGTGCTACCGTTGCAGGCCGCGATTGACGCCCTCCCAAGCCTCGTGGCAGCCGCCGTGCGGCTGCTGGGTTCGACGGTCGACTGTGCGGCGTTTGCTGTCCACACACTGGTCAAACTGCACGCCTGCCCAATGATCAAGGAGCGTGCGGCAGGTTGGCAAAGAAGTCTGGTTGGTGCATGCTGGCTCAAGTCGTCGGGGTGTCAACTGTGCTCACCGCCTGTATGCCCTGGCGCCCCTTAACCAAATTGGATAACTTAGTTCAGTCCAAAGACAGCATGCATTGTGCAACTCCAAAATGTCACATGCAGACGCCCCACACATCGCCCCCACCCTGGCAAACCCCCAAACCCACCACCCACCCAGACCTGCTGGTGAAGGCCGGCGGCGTGCAGCAGATGTGCCGCTTCCTGCTGGGCCCCACTGACGAATTCAGGGACGAGCGCGCACTGCTGGATGCGCTCTCCATCCTGCAGCAGCTGGCCCTCACGCCCGCACAACCTCAGGTGTCGGCTGCCGCCATGCCCGCGCTCCTAGCTATCATTGGGCGCCCGGGGGTCGCAGGCACCTTGTGTGGGAGCCGCGCTGTCTTGGCGCTCGGGTGCCTCGCGCTCTGCAACCATCGGAGCCGTGCAGAGCTTGCGCGATGGCTTGCGGGCTCCGAGGCGGCGCGGAGGGGCCTGTTGCAGCACCTGTGCGCCGCCCAGCGGCCGTTGGGCAGCACGGCGGTGAGTGCCACCATGCGTGGCTCAAGTGATGCCGCTGACGCAGGCAGGGTGGACCTTCCGGTTGGATCAGTGTGTGCCGTGCATGCGGCCGCCCTCCTTCGCGACCTTCTGTTGGATACCTTGATCGATGCCGACCAAGCGCGCGTCATCTCCACCTCAGTGCTGCCTGCAGCCGCAGCTGCCATGTGCCACTCTCTCGCTGGGCTGCTGGCCGCCCCCGCAGCCGCCACCCAGAGCAGTCACGGGGGTCCAGCTTTGTGGCCCACTTCCATCGTAGATGCTATATGGGTGATGTGCATGCGGGCAGCCGACCCTGTTGCGGCTGCTGCTTCAGTGTTGGATGCCGCGCCAGAGCTCCTGAAGCGGCTGGAGCGGCTGTGTTCCGCCCTTGATGCGATGGCGTTTGAGTTGCATGGGACTCGTGCAGGCGAGAGCAGGGCGCGCCGAGTGCTGGGCAGCCCCCAAGTGGTCGCTCAGCGGGTTCTTGAGCAGCTGCAGCACGCGCAGCAGCGACAGCAGCAGCATAAACAACAGCACGACCATCATCGTCATCAGCAGCAGCAGGAACAGCGGCAGCAGCAACCAGCACTGCCAGCCGCAGCCCAATCAGCACAGGCGGCATGCGCTGGCTGCGGTGCTTTTGAGGCGGCTGACAGCAGCGCCGTGCGGCTGCGGCTGTGCCGCGGCTGCCGGCAGGTGCGCTACTGCGGCGAGGAGTGCATGAGGCGGCACTGGGCCAGCCACCGCCCTGCCTGCAAGGCGGCACAGGCGTCAGCTGCCTCAGCACAGCAGGGCGCAGGAGTCGTGGGGAAGCTGGATGAGTAACATTGGGATCATCCATATGCACTCGTACGACTGTGGGGTATTTCAGGTGCTCAACCAACCCTCACAACAAAACCTGATGTAAAAGTGAAGCAGGCTGCATGTATCACAGACACACTGAATGTGTTTGTGGGCTGTTGCTAAGCACAATGTGTTGGATGGTTGATGACACTGGAAGAAATCGTTCTGCCTGCTTCAGCCTTTGTGACAAACCATTACAGTCTTCCCTCGCTACAGCGAACCCCGCAATAGCGAAAACCCTGCCTAAAGCGAACGCCGCCGCTACCCCCGATCGCTCGCCACACAAATCCACCCCGCCACAGCGAATATTCACTACGGCTATAGCAAACGCCAAAGGCCTCCCAGATTCACTGTATGCAGGCGCGCTGTGGTCAGTGCCTGTGGGACTGCGTGGGGCCCACTCGCCACGTGTGGGCCACGTGCATGCAGGCAGCCACCAGCTCCTGCGTACACGCACCATACCCCCTTTCACTGCAGCATCTGCCACTGCTCATGGAGCTGATTACTGAGCTTAATGAAGGTCGCACCCTGCTCAATTGGAGGGTCTGGCTGACCCTCCAGTGTCACCGGTCACCTGCGCCGCAGTGACGCCCACTCTGGCATGACCCAGGTTCAGTTGGTCACATCACAGTAATGTTGACGTGCTGTTTGCCACAATTGCAAGTACTCTCTTCAACATCTTATACTCTCTTCAATATCTTAT